TCAGTGGCTAGTGCTGAAAGGCTGGACTTGAAGACTAGTGGTGGTGGCGAGGACGACCATATTCCGGATTTGCCACCGCCGGCGCCTCCGCCACCACAACCATCTGCCAATAGTCGTGACGACAAGTTGAGCGGTGGCGTTGGAACAGAAGGGGATGTGGAAGAGACTGATGGTAAGGGGACGGAATTGGCTGCTGAAGAGGAGGAAGAGGAGGAGCCGCTTAACTCGGGTGATGATGTGAGCGACGAGGAGACCGAGTCCCTCTTTGAGTCGGACAACCTTGTTGTATGCCAGTACGAGAGGGTGGGTGTCCAATTACCTATCACCTTGCTATGATCCATTCATTGCCTCATTCACCTAGTGGATGCTTGTCGATGTGTGCAGGTCAGTCGGTCCCGAAGCAAGTGGCGTTTCTGGCTTCGTGATGGTATTATGAAAATCCGGGGGCGGGACCACCTCTTTCAGAAGCTGATTGTAGAGGCTGACTGGTAACTTGCTCTTTTGTTCGATGCCCTCAGCTTCTCTCTCCTTTCCCTTTCCTGTGCTGTGTGAATTCTGTGCATTACTGCAGATGTGTCTGTGGGAGTTGAATAGGGCATTTGATTTATTATACGTTTGGTGGATTTAATGGCAAGTTGATTGACGGTTGATTGGTTGTCTTTGTAGGTTGATTGTTCCCACCAACAGTGTGCCTGCTCTGTGAGTACTGCAGTGCCGTGTGTTTTATGCCTGCCTTTTGAGGACGTCTTTCATTGAAAGGGGAGGAGGAGAGCGAGAGTGGGTGTCTGAATGGAAGGCGGGAGGTTTGGCGAGAAGAGGCAAGTCGGTGCTTTCGACGCGTCTTTTTCTCCTTGTAAATAGACAGAACTTGCGAACGCTCAGAATTGCAGAGGGAATCATGATATTCACTCGTTTTCTCCCCGCCCTTTTACCCATCCCTTTTACCATTCCACAAAGATCGTGAATTCGGCCTACTCGTCCAAAACGTGCTTCTGTCGCTCCAGCAACTCTTGAATTTTCTGTACGAGATTTAAGCAATGCTACCATTTCTGGTGTTTGTCTATTTCCTTGTTTATGTTGTATTGTTGGTGTGGTATGGGGTTTATCACAGTCGCTCAGCGGTATGCGTTGTGGTTAAGTGTTTACTACGAGATGATCTATGCTGGGCCGATTTGTTTGGAACATGATTGTGATGTGCAGTTTTTTTCTGCACCAGCGAAGCGGATGTGCCTTCTTGGTCTCCTGCACCCCGTTTGGCTTCATTACATTTACTAACTATGGGTGTCAATTCGTTAGTTATTGCTCAGCCTGTGGGTCTGTATAGTCAGCAATGACCAAAAATTCGAGTGTGTTACAATTCTTGGGAGTGTTTACAGAGTTTAGTTTTGTTGCTTTGTGGTGACCTATTCACCTTTGCTGATTTAGAATCTGCATTCTCGTTGGTATGATGCCCCTGGGTGCATTTAGCATTTGAGAGTCAATTTGATACAATCGATCCGTAGTTGGAATATTAATATTTAAACAACATGTATGCAAAATTAACATTAAGTATTTTCGTAGATGCTAATTAATTTCCTGCATTCGTGATTGGCCAAAATAAATTTCACTGACTAGCCTGGGTAGAGTTGTATTTCCTGGCTAGCTGGAACTTTGCCAGGTAATTAGCTGGCGTACAATTCGTAATTGCATATAATACTGTGGGTTTATGTGCGTCTCCCCGTTGTGCCAGCATATTTGCCATTTAGGAGAAACAATATTGGTGTTTTAATCACTTTACTAGCAGATTTTCTTGGTGAGGTCTTCTATTGCTGAAAAATGTTTCAACTCAATCTCTGTATGCGAAATAATTGAAACCAAAGCTCTATCATTGGCTATCGTGCATTTCTCCTTATTTACACAGATTGTATGGTCATGAGTGTTGCTTCAGCCGCCTCTAACTTTGCTCACCAAATTCCCGGGTGGTTGGGCACTCTGGCAATCGACTTCGACGGTAAAATCGTCTACTCCGCTGGTGATTTATCCGATGACACTGAGTTAGCGCCGAAATTTCTTGAGTTGGCCCGCCGCCTTGCTGAGTACATGACTCTGGAGGGTCCATCGGCTAGCCAGGAGAACCCCTTCAAGCGTTTAACAAGTAGGCTATCATTGTTTTGATGATTCCCCTCACCCGTTCCTTCCACGGTCTTACGTGCATCTTGGCTCTAGTTATATGCTCTAGATACGCCTATGTTATGACCGTAGTGGGGCATGTCGTGTACGTGGTCAAGAGGCAACTATCCCTTTCGGATTCTTTTGAGGACAGACGGGGAGTGAAATCCTCCCATATGCCCGTTAATGTCTGATTCTTCTTCCCCTCCTCCTGCTTTCATGTACAGCCCTTGCCATCATTTTGCTGTTTTTCACTCTGCAAACAGATTTATTGCAGGCTAGTTTTTTGAATGTGTAAAAGTAGGAAGTGGGATTCTCATTTGTGGAATCGTTTGCGTACTGTAATTTTAATGGATATGTGATTCGTTAATAGCGCACAACACGCTTTGCTTTTCCCATTTTGAATTTGACACCACGAAGGGGCATTTTCTGATGACGTTCATTGTCTGCTGGGGGTCATCGCACTCTTTATGTAGATGTGCAATTTCGCTAGTAGATCTTTGCAGAAGTGCTGATAATGGGCGTAATGTGCGGCCTGGTTAAATTTTGCCCATCTGCCAAATCGCGCTAAGTGATATTGATTGGAGGTATCCATGAACGCAGAAGTGGTTTTTTTTTCATGTCTTAGAAGTGCTTCCATCGGTCAGCTGTCATCTACGCATGCGCACACTTTACCACCAGCCTGATCCGATCTGTCGGTGCTTCAGACATTCGTATTTAGGTCTCCAACTCCCGTTTACTCATATTTATGAAACTGTCCAAAAACCTCTCGTGAAATAGCGAGGTAGTGATGGATAAATACCACCCAAAACTAGTCAGCTGGATTGAAATACCTAGATGCGTCTATTCGGTCGCCAAAGTCAGTAGACATCAAATTAGTGACAAAATTAAGCGAATTTAGGAAAGCGAATGGGAAAGTGGGCTTGTCAACCAGTCAATTATGTAGATTTATTCGTTTATCCGAAAGAATAATTGCCAATTTTTTTACAACGCTTTGCGCCCACTACTTCGTGGTGGGGGAAACTTGTGCGATTTTCGGTGGAACTCGCTGCAGTGGCTTACTTCTACCGATACGGACCTCTTTGGGGGTATGCATAGATAAAATGCGCTATTTCATTGAGCTTTCTACCGATTACCTGATATTCTGAAACCTCATACCGAAAAATGCCGACAAAATATGGTGTGTTTCTATATTGTCCGCTTTACAGATTCCAACTCGGTTGCCATGGTGATCTTCTGGGATAAAATCTGTAGAATACTTGGAGAATGTGTGGCATGCTCCAGCAGAAGGCACCAGCCAGAAATGGTTTAATTATCTTGAATTCGGGGATGACTTGCTGAAGGGTGACGCGTATTCCCTCTTCCTGAGAAGTAGAATTGAAGTAGGAAAAGTACGCCTTCGTAAAGTTTGCAGTTATCCAGCTTCATCAACTGGGAAAGCTATAAGAGGCGAACCCGAAGGGGGCTTACCTGAATCCTGTGGAGAATGAGCCATGGCAACAAGCTTATAAGTTGGCGATTTCCTTGGTTTTCACATCATAACAGCGCGCCGTGCTGCTGATCGACTGACTTGTGACTAGGGTGGACTTGATTGGCATTGGCTGTACCTTGTACCACTCGAAGAATACCAAAACACTACAGGTAACATGGATCTACTCTATACAGCTCGAATGTGCGCATGGAAGCCTCCCCAAGAGACATTCAGGACTGATGATTTAACCCGGAGAAAGTTCTCAGCATAACAGGATCTCATACTTTATTACTGCAGACCTCACCCGTGAGATCTCCCACCACAATTTAGGGTGGGAGGGGGATAATGCTTCAACATTCTCCCTCGCACTCCCCTGGTGGTATTCCACAGTTACGCAGGCAATAGGGCGGAATAGACAGGTGGAGAATAAATGCGATATCTAATAATGGGCGGTTAGTGGCATTTCCTTAGAAGGCTTGTGTACCGTCGAGGGGGGGGGGAATGACCAATTACGCACCGCAGCAGAGATGACTTCACCAAGAAACAAAGGCCTTCAGCAATTAGTTTGGCCCATAAAGATTCGAAGGAGTTTATTTATTTGCCCTATATAACCCTGAGAAACCGACAGAAACCAGAATTACTTGTATACCCGCAGCGATCGTGAACAAGTTGTAGGAAGAATGTTGATGCTCAAGCATATTGGAAGGTTGAAATGACGTAACAGCAGAAGTGGGTTTAAGACAAAATCCCCCCAAAGATGATATAGGTGCTTCAGAGTAGCACGTAACACCTTACCCAACTTGCACTATGCTCCAGACCCAACCGGTTGACGAAAACAAATTTACATAAGTAAACAGGATGGCCAGTAAAGGAAAATGACCGAAGTACATACCATTCGCAGCGCACACGATCTCCAGTAGATGTAGACCAATCCGACTACAACAAGTGGACGGTAAAGACCCAACCGCTAGATAACAATGACACAGAGAGGAATTAACAATGATGATTGTAATTTTCGGAGAGGACAGAGGGGCACAAAGTAGAGAGCAAACTTCAAGATGGTGGTGAGGAACATGAACGAAAGTAGGTGAGAAAAGTACTATGCGGCTTTTGGCTATATACAAAGAGAAAGAGGAGGTATTAAAGACACTGACTTGTTTAATTTTGCCAAACCTCTCGCCTTCCATCAATCAACGCATCCACCCTCGCTCTCCTCCTCCCCCCTCGATGAAAGACGTCTTCTCATGGCAGGCAACAAACACACGGCACTGCAGTACTCACAAAGCAGACACGCTGCTAAGGGGGAACGATCAACCTGCAAAGACAACCAACCAACCGTCAATCAACTTACTAATTAATCCACCAAACGCGCAATAAATCAAATACCCTATTCAACGACCGCAAACAACTGCGGTAACGCACAGAATTCACACAACGGCACAGGAAAGGGAAGGAGAGGGGATAAGAGTGAAAGATACAAAACAAAATAGAGCCAATTACCAGTCAACCTCTGCGAACAGCTTCTGAAAAAGGTGTTCCCGCCCCCGGATCTTCATAATCCCATCGCGCATCCAGAAACGCCATTTGCTTCGCGAATGACTCACCTGGACACGCCGAAAAATACCAACAGGTAAATGAGGCCAAGAAACATACAGATCAACGAAACATAGCGAGGTAAAATACTGTTGGAAGCCTACCTTCTCATACTGACATACAACAAGGTTATCTGACTCAAAGAGGGAATCTAACTCCTCATCAGTCACATCGTCGCCCGAGTTGAGCTGCTCCTCCTCTCCCTCCTCTTCAGCAGCCAATCCCGTCCCCTTACCCTCCGTCCCTTCCATATCTCCTGTTCCACCACTCCCCTTGGCGTCACCATTATTGAAAGGTGTTTGTGGTGACGAAGGCGGCGATGGTGGTAGGTCTGGAATGTGGTCGTCCTCGCCACCACCACCAGTCTTCACGTTCTGCCATCCAGGACTGGGCACTGCTGTCGGCATCTTCTGCTTCCGTCTGGACGCCAAACGTCCGCCCATCGCCGCCTCCTCTGCCGACGCTGCTGCCGCTGCCGCCAGCATCTCCAGTCTGTTACAAAGCAAGCAAGGCCAATCAACCACACATAAACACCAAAACATACACACAAGTCTTATCAACAAAATCGACATTCGCGCACGCCATCCAAGTCACTCACCGTTGGCCTGCTGGTGTCATTGTGGCCACAGAGCCAAACTCCCCTTCTTCCTCTTCCTCCTCCTCCTCCTCCTCCACCTCCTCATCCTCTTCATCATCCTCCTCCTCATCGTCCGCAAGGTCATCGTCTAGGTCGTCATCGTACTCGCGAAACTCCTTGCCATCTCCATGTGCAGAACTACGAGGTCGTTTGGCCACGCGAGGCCGAGACAGGTCACCACCGCCACCACCAACACCACCACCACCGGCAACAGCACCAGTGGTGACAGTGTCATAGGCACGTTTAGAGGTGTTTGCAGCAGCAGATGCAGTAGTAGTTGCACTTGCAGAAGTGGTGGTACTGGTAGGCATGGTGTGTGGCGTAGCAGGAGTCGTAGAGGCAGCAGTAGCCACAGAAGCAGGATTCGGAGTGAGCATCGACCCAGCCACACCAGGAGTCGCTACCACCATGTCCGCGTCGTCATCGTCACTGTCGTCCTCACCATCACCACCACCAGGAGTGGCAGTTACACCAGTCCCACCACTGCCGCCACCACCGCCTCCTCCTCCCACACCAGTACTACTGCCGCCCATCAGTAGCTGCACTGCACTGCCCGGTGTGCGACTGAACAATGACTGAGGAGTGGTCACGCTCATCGAGGCTCGCAGTGACGGCGTATCCACCGAGTAGGGCTCCACCACCTCCACATCATCGTCGTCATCGTCAAAGTCGCTGTCGTCCACCCCATCCACTTGTGTCTACAAACACCAACCACCTCTCAACTAACCAATCAATCAGCCAATCAATTAACCGAAAACCGCCCCTACCCACCCACTTCTCCCCCTTGCCCCACCACACACCACTTCACACATCTCACCTCGATCACCCAACATTGCTACATGGCTGAACACTTAGTTCATCAGTTCTCTCCCATCCAACTCCTTCCACCTTATTCACGCACACACGCACACACACACACACACCTCAATGAATCTTAACAATAACACCAACCAGTCAGAAACACCTCCAGCGAGCACGCACACACGTCGTCAAAGAAATGCACATGCACACACGACCCAAAAGCACGACCAACAACACCGGAAGGAAAAAGCAAGAGACGATTAGGGGCAACAAACATACCCGGTTGAAGGACTGCTGTTGCGTCTGCTGTGGTGCTGCTGCAGCTATGATAGTGGCGCCAGTAGCGTCGTGCAACTGCTGTGTTGTGGCAGCTGCGGAACCCAGCGGCTGACGGAACTGCACAGGCACCACGAAGGTCTGCTGACCAACCTGCAGAATCTGCACATTCTGACCTGCCAATAGAGGCATCACTGCAATTACTAACCCACCTACACGCAAACCCACACACACAATCACACTTACACTCGTGTGCATACACACCCCCTCTTCCCACTTCGCCCCTCCCAGCTACTGCAACGACACGCCCACATCTACTCACC